AAAGCAAATGGCTTTTTGTGGTCTCTTAAAATTTTTTAACCTACAGCTTGAGATTAAATTAATCTACTTTTTTTTTTGTTTGAGAGAGAGACTTGAGATTGGCCTCAAACTCACAGGGATCACCTTGCCTAAGGTTCCCCAGTGCTGGGATTGCAGGCAGGTATGTGTCACTAGGCTCAGCTCGTATCACATACATTTCTCATTTAAAGTTTTAAAAACTGTGTTCTAGCTCTAGGTCACTCCTTGGTGTGATAAACTGAAAAGGACGAGTCTCTTTTATCTGTGCTGTCAATCTCCCAGACCGTTCTTGCCTTGAAGCCCCATCCTTCCCCATCCCCAGTACCATCCAGCCATCCTTGTCCCCTCACTCCATCACCCCAAGCCATCCCTTCCCCTTCTCCCCAGACCTGGTCACTCATGGCCTGATCCCTGCCCTGTATCTCAATCCCTCTGCTGACCAAAATTCCTCCGGTCATTTTCTCCCTAATTGCAATAGCAATGTGACCATACCTGTCATCATTTGGGGTATGTGATGAGGCTGGGGTGGGCATGCCTGGTGGTTTATATCAGCCGGCCTCACTAGTCTGGCTGTGTCTTCCAGCCCATTACTACATCCCTCACTGTGAAAGGTACCTGCTGTCTCTGATAGGGTTCTGCTTTGCATTTTTTTCTTCACGAAGGACTGGACTTGGGGGAGACAGACTAACGAACATAGTGCTAACAGATATGGGACATTTTAAGGACACCAGCACTTCTCTTTAAATCAAAAGAATTATCTTGCTACATGGCTGAAGCCTGAAAATACCACACTAAGTGAAAGACACCAGAAATAAAGGTCAAATTGTCATATTATTTGTGTGATATATCTACGAGAGGTAAATCTGTAGACAGGACAGAGGCTGGTGCTCACCAAGGGGTAACATGAGGGGGATGGGAAAAGATCACTCAGTGGGTATGAAGTTTGTTTTGAGGATGGTGAAAATGTTCTAAACATACAGAGTGGTACAGGTATCAGGGCTGTGAGCACACTAAAAAACACTGAACTGTTCACTTTGGAAAAGGATGAGGTTTCTGACTCATGGCTTATGACTCAATAAAGCCATGAATATCTTGATTTCAAGCATTTCTGGCTTCAAACCATGACGGTGAAACAGGGATAACTTGGCCTTGGGCCCTGGAGGCCCAAATCTGCTGAGAAGGACCCAGGCCTCTGGTCCTGCCCACATCCACCTCTGAGTTTTAAACAGAGCCTACTGGTGCTTTAATGGAGAGCAGCTTTTGTTCTTTCCCAGCTTTCTTTGCTATTCTGTTCCTGGGGAGAAGCAACCCCCTCTTAGCACTTGACACATAAAAGATAAATGTTATTAGCATATTTGCAGTCACTTTGACATCTCTGCTTCTCACACTAGACTAAACCTATGATGGTCATTGTCTCATGAATCAGTTATTCAGAATTGATTTCAGTTATTAGCACAGTGTTCAGTACCAGGTTTTCAAATGATGCTCAGTAATTTTTTTTAATGTATATTTGGGGCACTTGTCTAGAATGTGGGAAGCCCTAGCATCACATTAGAAAAAGTACTGTCACACATGATCATCTAGTTGAAATGTTTGTGTACCTATTAAAAATTTTACAATTCCAATATTGACTGATGAAAGCAATTAATATGAATGAGAACTAATTCAACATCTTGATTGCACTGCTAAAATTAAATAAGCTGGGACTTTTCTATATGGAATGAATGATTTTATATTTTTATTACTGAACAACTATAAATGCATTAGAAATCAAGTAAGTCAAAACACTGTCTTCATACATATATGTAGATATCATTATATTTTGCTCACAAGCACACACATTTTCATAGTGATATAAAACAGTGTAAGTAAGACAATAGTATTATTGCTATGAGGTCCTCTGATGAGTACTGCATTTTGGCTTTTCTCTTACAACAGCCCTGTTTAGAGCTTTTTAAGGAACATAATGAACCTTTCCTAAGATGGGAAAAACAATTATCTATAAGAATCATCAACTGCAAAGCATCAAATAAATGGAGAAGTCCTTGACAGAATATCTCTGACCGAGAAACTGACATCCACATCTGTCTCCAGCTGTGTCCCCAAGAAAGGAGCTGGGGACTTACGCACAGGCCTAGAAGGAAGAATTTTTTATGTGTATGTGAAATAGGAGACGAGGGTGTGCTTCCTAGCTCAAAGCTAGGAAGTAGGGGTGACCTATTAACTACAAGATCCTCCACACACGCGCAGGACAGTTCCCAGAGCCCTGCATGTGGACCTCTCCTGAGAACTTGAGCAAGGTTTCCACGGGACGGCCTACACCTCAGGTGAGCCTGAGACTTGGGGTTTAAGCACCGCCTCACAGAAGCTCTCATGGTTTCCAGATTTAGACAACATAAAATAGACAGGCATGAGGAGCTGGTGTTATCATTACTTTCCATGACAGACCAGGCTGTGCTTCCCAGATGAAGTGTGTGCTTTTATCTTTGCTCTCTCCCTCTTTTTGTATTAACTCAGTCCAAGCTTGCTCTACAGAGCCAGTTTTTCTCCCACTCTTCATTTTTGCTTTCTTGAATAAACGTTGCCAATGTTTTTTGCTCATTTTGTTCAATTTCTGGTTTAAGGCAAGGAATCCAACTCTAGAAGGAGAGATGAGCAATGCAGAACCTAGCAGTGCTTAGTTGGAGAGCTACGTTTTAGGAACAAGCTACTTGACAACACATGTGTGGTGCTGGGGCTTAAGCCCAGCGTCTTCACGCAGAACTACATCTCCAGCCCTTTGCATTTTTTATTTTGATCTCGCTAAATTGCCAAGTTGCTCATGTTGGCTTTTAACTTGTGATCTTCCTGCCTCAGGCTCCTAGAGTGTTAGGGTTATAGGTATGAGGCGCTATCACACAGGACTGAGTTCCTTGTTCGTTTCATTGGTTTTCTGAGACAGAGTCTTGCTATGCAGTTCAGGCTGGCTTGAACCCACTATGTAGCCCAGGCTGACCTTGAACTCTCAGCAATCTTCTTGCCTCCGTCTCTCAAGTGCTAGTATTACAGATGTGCACCTCTACTCCTGGCACAGAAGTTTTGTTCTGTTTGTTTCCCTAGTGTTAGGGATGAAACCCAAGGCCTTACACATGCCAGGCAAGCATTGAACCGTTAAGCTACATCCCAGCCCTTCACAGAAGATTTTTATGCCTTCAAATTTTTTATCAAATGCATTATCTATGAAATTTCTCAGCTCCAGCCAAACATCATTATTAAAGAATGTGGGCCTAGACTTGCCAGATCTAATACTTTTAAAGAAGTTGGAAATGGAAAAACTCAGACTTTTATATAAAAATTATGATTTTAAGTAAGCCAGGCCAAAAACACTACTGCTGCAAACCCTATCTGGTTCATAGGCCGACCAGTTTACCATCTCTAATCTGAAACTTAGTTGTGGCTTATGATTTCAAAACTATAAATATAATGTCAGGGAGGAAAACTCAGGTTTGCGGGTGAAGCTGTGCCCCTCCTTCTCACCATCTCTTTAGCCATAATTGCTCTCTTAAACTTCCCCTTCTTTTCTGAACCTTCAAAAAGGCTATCAACATTTGACCAACCAAAACGTACAATGTACCAGGACTGATCAAGGAATTTGCCCATTCTCCTAGCAACTTCTCCATTTGAAAGAGTGAAATGTGGTCAATTTCAAGTCGCAGTTCTAGCCAACTGGAGAGGGTTATGTAGATGGTTTCTAGCTGGGTGGCAAAACTCCCCCGAGCCACTCATCAAATGACTGCATGGTGGAAGAGATCTCCAAATTGCTTCTCCCACACCACCAGGTGGGTGGCGAGTGCTGTATTGCTCAGAAGACTGAACAGATGCTGAACACCACAGAAACCCTGGAAATCTCAAGTCTCTCCAGAGCCTGCAGAGACAGCTCTAGCTACCTGCTACGTTCATGGAAGACTGCATCTGCCTAATGCCCACAGGTCAAAAAACAAGTTGTGCAAAAATAAATTTCCGTTCTAAGTCCAAGCTACAGGAGTGCTACCTGCTTCCCCACTGTGTCTGAAAATCTCACCCTCCCTCCTCGGCTCAATACTGCAAGGAGCTGGACTCCAACTCTGCCCCTTGCTGATAACAGCACTCGCACCACAGGTTGTTCCACCTGCGGCCTCCACCAACCAGAAGATGCACAGCCTTTAGGGTGTTCCTGGAGGAAGACAGTGACGGATGGCCCTCCCACAGGACACAGAAGTCAAGGTGGCTTGTAGAAACACCACCAGGGGCTGTATCTGACTCAACAAGAAGGAAAAGATGTGGACTTACGAAACGTTGCTTTCACTCTCATTATCTAGTCTGAGGGAGAACTGTACATTTTGCCAACTAATCTGAGCAGCTTCACTACCATGCACACCATTCCCTTTTCTAAGAAGGTGAGCATTTGGGAAAACAAAATGATAAGCTAGGTTTTAGACTCAGTTTTTTTGGGGTGGAAAATACCGCCATGATTTAGGAAGTGAAGATCTATAAAGTATTCTGAGAAACAATGCTAACACTCCACAGATGTGACCGGGACAGACCTTCCCTGGTCGCACTGAGTGCCGAAAAAGACCGACCATACTGTGAGACACAAGCCAGGTGTGCTGTGGCTGGAGCGCATGCGCAGAGCACGGGGCTGAAGGGCCCTGTGCACTAGGTGGGGAGATCCGAGCCAGATTTCCAACGACCACACTTGTGCACAGCTTCCACAAGGATGGGTGCGCATGGACCAATAGCCTGTACTTCCTCTAGCAGCATACCTGAGCCTGGCACCAGAAGGACAGCGACCTACACACATCAGTGTCCAGCAAGTGCTAAAAGCTCGCTTCTTTGATAATCAGCAAACTTATTTAGTGCTTTGTGCTCTAGGAAAAAAATCTGACATTAAGCACTTTCTTTCTCTTCTACAAGGACACACAAGGGGGGCCTTGACCCCAAGATAGAGCTCACTGTGTTCTTACCTCAGCAGCCTGGGTCTCCTGATGCAGCAAAGTGAGGCCGGTCAAGTCTTCCAAGAAAGAATGTGAAGAATTAAACACCTTTGCCAGGAAATTAAATCCTTCTTGTTCATATTGATCAAGTACCTGTAAAACATTTATATTCTTAGAAAGGAGGCTGCATATTTTAAATGCACACTAAAAGCCTTTCATTTCTAATAAGCATTTGTCAAAAAAGAAACTAAAATTAGCATTAAGTATAGGGATAATAATGCAGTCTGCTAAGTACAAAACTGGGAGAGTTTAGTATTCTGCTTGCTTCTTCCTCCTCCTCTTCTTCTTGGAAACATAACAATATCATCTTCCACTTCAGATGCCAATGTTTCCCAAATAAAGTAAGTTCCATACAAATTCACTAATAATTCTAAAAGAGTTGAGGTTACTGGTCCTAAAGTTCACTTGCTAGAAAAGAAATAGCAGGAGAGGGATGAGCCAAAATAAAATAAAAAGAATCAAGGGAAGGGAAGGGAGAAAAGGTTTTATTACAAACATGACATACCAGCTAGCCAAATGTTTTTTGAAAAATAATTTTAAAAATGGAAAAATACATGTCAACAGGCATTTTACAAATGAAGATTATCCAAAGGGCCAAAAAACCAAATGAAAATATGCCCAATGTCATGAATCATCAGATAAATTAAAACTAAAACCACAGTGAAGTACAGTAAGTCCCTGCCTTATGAACAAACTCCTTTATAGGAGAATATTTACAAGTCAGAGTCATTCATAAGTCTAAGCAAGTTTTATACTATGTTTCACTTTTATTTGTGCTTCCTACAGTACCTTCCACTGCTCTTCCTCTCTCCCAGAGATCCTGGGCTCTACTGCAGTGCTACACTGCCGCACACCGCTGCACCGCGCAGTGAACACACAGCCTCACAGCTGCGAGCGCCCAGCTGACATGTGAGCTACTTCCGTCATTTGTTCCCATCTACGAATACACAATGTGAGGTCCCTTTGCATCTGTGAAAGTTTACAACTTGAATGCTCGTAAGTCAGGGACTTACCATACTGCTTTGAACCTTCCCAAAAGTCTAAAATGAAAGACAGAATATATCAAGGATATGGAACAATTAGGACTCTCATGAAAATACAAAATGAGAGCATTGTTTCAGAACTATAACATTTATATACCTAGATATGATCACAAGCACAGCATATCTACCCATAGTAATACTACTTGTGATAGCCTTAAATTAGAAGCCACTTAAGTTTCTATCAGCAGGAGAGTGAGTATAACTATTATTGTATATTCATTCAACAGAATACTATATAGCAGTGATAGTTAACCTTTTAGAACTATGAAGGATAACAAACAGCTAAGTGTGGCATACCTACCATAGGCTTACCACCACTGTTACACAGTACTGGGAACTATAGCTATAGTCTTCCAACAATGTTACAGGAGGGAAGGGGGAAGTAGGATGTGTTGTGTAATGCTATTTATATAAAGGTAAAAACAATGAGGCAGAATGAGGTTAGCATTCAAGACAGCAATGACCTGTGGAGAGACTATAACTACAAGAGGGCACTAGGATGTTCAAAGTGCTTCTAATATTTGCTTCTTTATCTGGGTACTAGTTATATAAGGTGCATGTTTTAAGAATTCATCAATGTAAACACTTAAAATTTGTGTATTTTTCTGTATATATGCTATCCTTCCATAAGTATAATATAAAAGTATAATATAAAAGGCTAGTAGTTTTAAAAAACAAAAATATGAGAAAAATAAAGAGCTCTTAGAAGCAAATAAAAAAATGATGGGCACATTTAGAGATCAATGATTATAGGAACTATAAACTGTGGAAAGCAAACAGTAAACCATAACTCAGAAGTAAAAGAATGAATATTTTAAAAAGCAGACACTAAACACAAATCCAAGATATCAACTACATACAGAGAGGGGAGAGGCAATAACATAACACATAGAATTTCTTTTGAGATAGGGTCTTGCTATGTAACGCAAGCCACAATGAATTCACTATGTAGCCCAGGGAATCCTTCTGCCTCAGCTTCCTGAGTGCTGGGATTGTAGGCATGCACCACTACACCTAGCAAGGCATAGACATTTAAAAATTGTTTTCTTCTTGTGGAAAATGAAAATGCATGAACCCTTCAACCCAGCAACTCCGCTTCTAAGACTTTCCACACAGATACAGTTGTGCCCAGTAGATAAAAAGACTAATATAAGAATGCTCACTGAAGTATTATTTGAAAAAAAAGTGTAAATAATTATCCCTTAGTGGTTCATTAATTATGGCTGTGGCAGTTAGGGTGAAGCATTGACTTAATTGGTTTGGGGATCTACCCAAGGGATTAGAGGAAGATACTTCTGGTTGGATCTTACTGGGTTATCAAAGTACAGCCTTGAGGTCTGTCTCTGACTCTTTCACACTTTCTCTTTGACATCATTCTCTCACTTTGCTTCATGGCTACCACAAACCAAGCATCTTTGTTCCACGATACCCTTCAGCTATGACATTTCTCACCTGGAGCCAGCCAACCATAGACTGCATCTGTGAGCACTGAGTTTGTGTCCAATCATAAGTGGACTAAAATAGAAAATTGGTATCAGAAAAGAAGGGTCACAGCTGTGACTATACCTGACGATGTATTTTAGAAGCCTTTGAAACTGGTTTGTAGGAGGAATTTGGACAGCTCTGGAGATACAGATTAGAGAAGTCCCAGATTGTTATGAATAGAAACTGATGACAGATTCTGGTTGGCGCTCAGAAGATGAGACTGATGATAGGAAAGCAGACAGTAAAAACCACTCAAGAGGTTTCAGTTGGTAAGAAGGACTCCATTGGCAGTTAGACTAGAAGCCATTTCTGTCATGCTCTGGCAGAACATTTGTCTATATTTTACCCATGTCCGGAGAATTTGCAAAAGATTGAGATAAAGGGAAATGGACTAATTAATCTGAGAGAGAAAATTTCAAGACATTCCAACATTCAGCCTGCGGCATTGGTACTGCTAGCTTCTTTTAGCTATATTTATAGTAAGAATTGGGAGCAAAAAGCAGAGCAGAAAAATTTGAAAAACTTAAATTTTAGCCCAGAAGTAATCATGCATAAAAAATCGGGGCTAAAGGAGGTATGGTTCAAAAGAAACCAAGTACTATACTTTATACAGGGACAAAAAGAAAGATGCCTTGAGAGCATCTCATAAATCAGTAAGATGTCACTTAAGGCAGGCACCAAGGTACAGAAGTATAAACCATTCATTTGAGAAGGAAGTCCCAGGCACCCCTGCTCCTGAAGGCTTGCCTAGAGAACTGGTTACCCAAGCTTCATTTCACCATGCTCAACCACGCAGGCACTCAAAGGCTGCTGCAGCTCTGGTCAAGGAAGGCCTGGCTACTGTTTTCAATGATCACAGATCTTGATGGTACCATATGATGTTGGTTTTATCACCATGCAGAATGCAAGAGTTATGGGGTCAAGAAAGCTTTCACTACACTTTAAAGGGAGGCCTGGGAGGCCAGACAAGGAGGCTTTGTGAGGGCAGTGTGTGAAGCTGTGGAATGAAGCTACAGGTGTAGTTAAGACCTCTTGAAGTGAGAAGCAAAACTACACCTTCCTGTGAAGAGCAGGCTCCACTATGCTAATCCGTAAGAGCCTCAGCCAGAAGGGAAGCCTCACCATCGTATGAAGCTCCACCATAATGATTAGAGAGAGCCTCAGCCAGAAGAGAAGCTATGCCTTCCATGAAGCAGGCTCCGCCATACTGATCAAAAAGAGCCTCAACCAGAATCAAAACCATGCCTTTCTGTAAAGCAAGTCCCTCCACACTGATCGAAAAGAGCCTCAGCTAGAAAAGAAACTACGCCTTCCCATGAAGTGGGCTCAGCTGTGCTGATCATTGGTAAGAGCCTCTGCCGAAAGACAAACCATGCCTTCCTGTGAGCCAGTCAGTGTGGGGCTGAAAACCCAGAAAAGAACCCTCCCTACCCCCCACTGATTTGGAGGACTGAAGGTGAATTGACAACAACTGAGGGGAAGGGAATAGCTTGATGCTTGTATTGTTTGGTTGACTCTGCAGGCCTGGGGCTGGTGGTCTGAGCATCTACTTGAAGGATGACAGGGTGCACTGTCTCAACTGTGGGGTATACCTTCTGTCTTGCTTTTGAAATTCAATGTTTTGCTCCATTTTACTGTTTTGTTTTATACCTGGTAACCTGGGTAACTATTTGAAGATAATAATGTAAGTATTGTTCTGTTTTGTTTTATTCAATGTTATGGTTTGATTGGTTTTATTGTTTTCTTTTGTTTGATTTTGCCATGTCTGATGGTATGGAACTACCCTGAAGACAGCAACAGTGGTAGCCATTGTTGATTTACTATTATCCTGTTTCGAAGTTCTGTACCACTTTCATTGCTTTGTTCTAATTGGTATTATTGTTTTGTTGGGTTTTATTCTCTTTAAAACAAAATTTTAAAAAATATAAAAATAAAAAATCCCATGAAACTGGGAAAGCCAGATACATGGAAAATCTGCCAAACAAAAAGCTACAGCCCAAGAACAAAGACAGCCCAAGAGAGGTTATATAAACTGCAATCAGTGAGGCTACTAAAGTCCTTTGGAACTCTCATTTTACCACTGTGTGCTTCAGATTCTATTATAAAGCTAGAGGTCTTAATGTTTGCCCTGCTAGATTTTGGTCTTGCTTGGATCCAATGCTTTTTTATCCTATACTCCTTTCTTTTGGATTAGGAATATTTAGCCTGTACCATTATACCTTGGAATTATATATACCTTGTTTTTTAATTTTATAGGGGTTCTTAGCTAAGAATTTGCTTCGAGTCTCAGGAGAGACTCTGACTTGGACTTCTGAGTAATGCAAGAACTATTGAGACTTTGAGAGAAGAGACTACTGCATTTTTAATTGCACAGAATAGTTGTACCATGTTAGGTAGAATTATGAACTCGCCACTGGGTTTATTTGGAAACTAAGTATAGTTTGAGAAGTGCTTGGGTATGAATTTGACAAGAGATGGGATGTCTGGTTAGGGAGGAGTGGCAACTCCACTGACCTGGGAATCAACCCAGGCAACTAGATGATAGTTCTGTGTGTCTAGATAGGC